GAAATCAGGCTTCAAAACACTCCAGGAAAAAGCAGTGAAACCACTGTCGCAGAAGGCAAGCTGTGACGGTGTTTTAACTGATAGCATATTTATAATTAGTACAGCCATTGTGTGAGTACAAATGTTTCAGCTGAAGGCCTTCACTCTTAATCAGCATAACGTTTTCCTTGTTTACTCTATTAATTTACTTAGCAACCCTTTTGTCAGAGAGGCAGGTTAAACAAAGATTCTGAGTAACAAAGCTCTAGGTCTCAGCAGATGGCCCATAGAAACAGCCTTGTTGGTCTAGTCAAAACAAATTCTGCACAACACTTGCTCTGTTCCACGGCCTTGTCACAATCACACTCCATGTCAGAGTCATCCTCTTTGGAGGAAAAACATTTTAATTGGTTATTGTTTGCCATTTGCCTTGTAAGCAGAGTTGGTCTTGGGTATAAATCTGGAAATAGTCTGAGTTTTTCAGCTAAGTCCTGCCCTGTTGTTTTCTTATCTTTCTCCCTTCTAGTCCACTGAGCTTTTGGTCTCATGAACAAGTGGTTAATTTTCCTGCCCTCAATGGGAATGCCTCCTTCTTTCAATGATCAAGCCCCAATCCACTGAAAAATTTACCTCACTAATAACATGATTCAAAAGAAACGACACCTAGCATTGTGCCTTGTATAAAGTTAGGATTAAATATATATTTGTGACTGGGTATGGTGGCTCTCACCTATAATCCCAGCACTTTGAGAGGCCAAGTCGGGTGGATCAATTGAGGTCAGCAGTTCAAGACCAATATGGTGAAACCCCATCTCTACTAAAAATACAAATACTAGCTGGAGATGGTGGCACATGCCTGTAATCCCAGCTACTCCCGAGGCTGAGGCAGGAGAATCACTTGAACCTGGGAGGTGAAGGTTGCAGTGAACTGAAATTGCACCACTGCACTCCAGCTAGAGCAACAGGGTAAAACTCTGTCTCAAAATAAGTTGATAAATACATATAAACATACATACATATTTGTTGAATAAACTAAAAAAAAGTAATTTCATATCAAGAACCCTTTTATTATTTTATCAACCAACTCTGTTGTCGGTGAGATTTAACCTGCCTAAAACATGCTAAACTTTAAAGAATATTTTTCTGGATCCAAGACACACATAACTTTGAATCAGATGAACATGAGGTCTCAAGATACTTACTTTGTGGACAGCCCTTTCTATGAAATCTACCCTTCACCCACAACCCAGTCTGCACCCCATTTTCAGAGAGTAAACAGGCACACCTCCTGCTGAGAGACTCTCTTTGGAACTGCTGGCTACTACACAACACAGAAACTTCATTGGCCAAAGCAGATTGGACTAGAACACCTTATCCGAGCTGATCAAATCAATGCTTTTTCCAGAGAAACTGGGAATAGAACTGAGAGACTCATCATTTGGAGTCTAAGGACTTATATTTTTATGCAGACCTAAGGACTGAGATGGGACCAGTTGGGAGTGACCATGGTTATCTCCCCATTGCAAAAACTGAACTAAAATAAGTTGATCACTTACAACTGTTGGTTCTTTCACAGAAGGCAGAGGCAACCATATTTTAGCATCACAATTGAGAGAAAATTCTTATTACAACTGAATGACAAAACTGAGCCAAACTGAGTCTTAAGACAAGAAATGCTCTTCCAAAAATGTAATCTTACACCTTTACTAGGAGAGAAGAGTTGCACGTATATTTCTAGCCAATCCCATATCCTGAACTAATGAAAAGTCATTTCTAATGCACTTTATGCTAATTTTAAAATAGTCTGAAGCCGATCTGAGATAAACATGGCTTAAACTTGTGGTAACTCTCTTCAGAATGTAAATTTCTGCTTGTTATTTCAAATGCTAAGAAGCTAGTATATATCGCCAATTACCACCTCCTGAAGAGGTGGGCCTGACTGGATATTTAAAATCTTAACTATGCTCCTTCAGGTACAAATCAACTATGTATGTATACATAGACATACCTATATACGTATGTGTGTATATATGTGTGTATCTATACATATATGTATACATATATACCTACTATCTTCACTGAAGTGTTTTAATATAATTTACAGATATTATAAGAGGCATGTGCCAGCAGAGTCCAAGTACCCAGTCTGCAGAAAGGAGGATAAAACCAAGGCAGGCAGAAGCAGATGGGAGACACAGGGAGCTCCAGAGAGAGAACCCCAAGACAGCTGCATTTTGGTGATTTCCCTCATACTGGCTTCAATTCTTTGTAAGACCTAGTTATACTTTCTACTTTGGGCATGTACAAAATACACACATTGTATTATATTAAATTTTTTCTTTACCTTAAACTCATTTGAATATATTCTGGTACTTGCTGCTAAACAATCCTAGGCTAAAAGATTAATGCTATTTTTACAGAGTTAATATGATATAATTACAAACAAAAATAAGGACACTGGACATTTTAGTGAGTTTCTCAGCCTCAATACAGGGAAAGGTATGATTTCCGTTAGACTTATTAAAATGCAGAAAGTAGTTCAAGGACCACACTTACCATCTTACAGACTCCTAGGGACCTCTAGTTCACAACCACTAAACAGAGGTATTAATGCTCAAGTGCTTTTCTCTAAGCCTTTCTAAACGTATATTCATCTGCAAAGAACTGGCATAATTGCAGTCTAGACTTTGAAACACTGGCCAGTATCAGACACACACAGGCAAAAGAAAATGGTCATTCAGGCAAGGCTGGTATCAGACCCAGACTTGTAAAGGACACTGCAGAGGATCAAAGGATGAACCAGTGAGGACTTCAGTAAGACCAAAACAAAGACCATTCTTGGAACTGTATCTAAATAACAGTGCTGCTGAATTATTGTCACAAGATAGTGGATTAAATCTGTTTCCATAATTAACTCTTCAGTAAGATATATATGGTTCGTTATATAATGTCAATTCTGTCAATTTATACAAAAATTTCTGTTCAGGCTGGGCACAGTGGCTCATGCCTGTAATTCCAACACTTAGGGAGGCCAAGCCAGGCAGATCACAAGGTCGGTCAGTAGCTCAAGACCAGCCTGGTCAAGTAGTAAAACCCTGTCTCTACTAAAAATGTAAAAATTATCCGGATGTGGTGGCATGTACCTGTAGTCCCAGTACTTGGGAGGCTGAGGCAGGAGAATGGCTTGAACCCAGAAGGTGGAGGTTTCCATGAACCAAAACCATGGCTGGGTGACAGACTGAGACTCTAGTTCAAAAAAAAGAAACAAAAAATCTGTTCCTAGCACCATCTTTCACCCTAGTCCCTGTCAGAAAGTGTCAACATGAATATTTGAACCAGGTATATCCTAATTAACAATAGTAGATAAGATTCTGTGGTCTTGAGGGGACAAATCAGGCAATTCCCATTATGCAGTTCTTCTTGTTAAGGTCTCCTGGCTAGATGTGTTACACTGCTTTTGTGGAAAAAAGTCATTTCAGTCCTTATGCAGTAGCACAGATGCCCAAATATTTGCTTTGCTTTCTTTGTTATCCTTGAGACTCTTCGATAATTTTATTCTCTGTTCTCCAAAGGGCCCGATCATGTGGTAACTCATTAGTCCAGATTCCCTATTGCTTTCTAGCAGGACCCTTTGCAGGGTCAACAATCCTTTCTCACCACCTGGCCCACCAGACAAGTGTCCTCAGATAAGTAGTATCATGGAAATCAAGGGCTGTGATTCTCCTTTCTCCTCTTGAAGGCTGTGGCCTTCTTATACACAGCGATCTAACTTCTAGTCATTAAGGAGCTCTGCTTAGAAGAGGTCTTGGGAGAATCCTTCTTAGCCCTTCCCTAGGACAATGGGAATCTATTTGCCATTTATTTACATAACTAAGAAGCCATTCAAATGAGTCTCCATTTCAAAGGTCTTATCTAAGGGTGACTGCAGCCTAAACCTCTAGAAGACAGTTCATTCACTCACTCAACTATATCTTGAGTCCCTACAGAGGCTAGTATGCATTTCAAATGTTTACTTAGCACCCTACCACCCACTCCACTCACCTAGTCTCTAAAAGGCACTGATTTGCATATTCATTTTCCCTTTGCATCTGACATCACCATGTATCTTCTGCTAATATACTTGATTTTCTTTCCTTTGTGCTCAGTGAATTATCTTTCAAAAGAAAAGCAATCAAAGGCAGTGGTTAAAAGAATATACTCAGAAACCCCACTTCCCGCATTTGTTCCAGCTCTGGCACTTACGAGTGTGCACTCGGTAAATTATGTCACCTCTGGACCCTTCCTTTTCTCATTTTTGAGATGAGGAAAGTGGTAGCTCCCATTGACCTCCTGAAAGTGTTGTGAGGATTGAAGAAGTTGATATAGGTAAGACTGTTCCTAGAGAAACAGAAGAGTTTCTGGCATATTACAGAACCACTACATAAGAGTCAGCTATTATTATGCGAACTTCACTGTTAAAATGTTTCACTTCTCACTTGTCCCTCACTGGTCCCTCTGCTTTGACCTTCCCCAGTGGCCTAAGCCTGTGGGACCCAATGCCATCACACTCAGCACCCTCTTTAATGGCAATTACCCTCTTGAAATAAAATCCATGGGTGCTAAAACCTACCCCCTGTACAGAATTTCAAAATAATATAATGTCTTACTATAATAAGTGAAATATATTAAAAATCATTTTAAAAATTATGTATTTCACAATGTAGGTAATTGGCAAGCTTGGATAAAAAGGCATGAAGAAGTAATAATCTCTATAAAGCTCTATAAAGCTAATAGCCAAAAAGCATACTAACACAGAATATATTGTGTTGGTAACTCAAGCACTATGAGTGGCAATGCTGCTAGTGGTTTTCTGAAATAGAAACTTTCAAGCAAAACAGAGAGGAGAGGAGGAGAGAGAGATTACAGATTAAAAGCAATGTAAATGATATATTATTCAGTTGGAATTTGTGGCTCATAAATATGAACACTATACATTTGATGATACTAAAACATTATCATTAATTTTGTTGTGATATTGGAATTCTAGTTTTTTAAAATAAGTCCATATCGCCTAGAAATACAAATTACATTATTTGTAGATAAAACATATAGGATTCCTTGAAAATAATTTGGGGTTGGAGAAAGCAAGTAGAGATATAGCTGAAACAAGATTGGCCATGAGTTCCATTCTATTCCTGGATATATTTTACATATTCCATGATTTTTAAATGTAAAGAAAATTATAAAGATGTGGCTGTAGAGAAAGAAGAACTAAGAAGGATCACAGTCTGGTAACATTCTAATGAATATTATAGTATAGGGGGAAAAACATTACAGAAAGGGAAAAATAATCACCCACAATTTCATCACAGCGTCAGTTTTACTGTGATTTGGGGAATTTGGCAATAATTGTTTTGCTTGTTATTTTCATCAGCTGTCTCTTTTCCACTTTATAAAGCTTCAAGACAGACATTGCTAGAAAGATCAGATGAGTACCTTGGCAATTACATTTGTATAAATCTGGTCCCCCGGCAGCTTACTCCCTTTGAATGGAATTCTTAGCCTAGGACCTTCCTATGTCCTGGGTTTTACCATTAACAGAGAATTCTGTCACCCAGTTTCTAGGTTATCTGAATCCTGACTGCAGAAAGTTATCTTCCTCTAGTGTACATTTTATGCAAGGTATTGGGAGTGCCTAAGAGTGAGACTTCAAGAAAAGGTGCTATAACTCTGTTTGTGCCAGTTGCTAATGTTTACACACACATAGAATCTGGTGTCAGACTTGCTTGCCCTATATCTCACCTACTGGATATGAAGGTGGAATTGAGAGAGACTTATAGCCCTCATGTACATCCAAATAATAATAGCTCTTCCTTCTACCAATAAAAATCTATTCATTGTGCACTGCCAAGTTGGCTTAGATAATTCTGTAACAGATGTGTTCTTGACATTTCCAATTGAATAAAAAATATTTTTTCTGCAGAATTCACAAGTTCCTAAGTATTTTAACATGCATACAGTTACATGAATATATACAGGACTCTGCCAACTACTGCTTAGAGGTCAAATATGGCTTGCCACCGGATTTCATACAGCCAGTGAGCTAAAATTAGTTTCTACAATTTTAAACAGTCGAAAAATTAAAAGAATATTTTGTAATGTGTAAAAATTATATAAAAATTTAATTGCATAAGTAAATATAACAAAATAAAATTGCACTCATTTGTTCATGCACTGTCTACGGCTGCTCTCACACTGCAACATGACATGGACACTATATGATACTCAAAGCCCAAAATACTTACTATCTGGACCTTTACAGAAGGAGTTGGTCAAGCCCTGGTGTATATCATAGGTGTTGTTAGACCTAGAAAAAACAAATATCATAATATTATGAACTCATATTTAAGTTCCAAATAGCTAACTTAAGAAGTATCAGAACTGTGGGCCATCTGTAAGTTGGAAAAGACTTTAAGAGGGATTTAGTACTTTCACTTTTAAAGTAAGATAAATGTTTATCACTCATACATAAAAGTAATAACCTTTGCCAGCCTTTGCACTAAGGCCAGGGCACAGTATCTTACCAAATACACTATAAACAAGAAATAGAAATGTCTTGCTCATAAGCAAAAGACAAAAATTTTAAATTAAAAAATTAAAAATCTTAAAGTTTTCACTACCATGCTGCCTCAATTTGAAATCCATTTCTATCTTCTTCTCTCTCCTTTTTAATCCTACAGATACATAAAAATGTTTTCTATTTAGTGTCTGTGTATTTCAGGGTTTTTAATATGCCTGCAAAGTCGAATGCATTAAGAGGATAATTACAACACGTTGAGTTCACAGTAATTAGCCAATGATAAGTTTTTGATGAAGTTTTTGAGGCAAGAGCAGCCAGTTAAAGTGTTCATGCCAATGCCTCCTGTCTAAATCATTCTGGAGTGACTTCTCAACAAATAGGCCAAGAACTGCCAGGAGCAGTTACTTTAAAGCAGAAGCAGCAGATACATTTTAATATGCTAATCTACAGATTTCGCTGGATTCTGTGTCTCTTCTATTTAACCTAAATAACAGTCTCCCCAAGTTAGACACAAACAATCTGTCAAAACAGTAGCTGAGGAAGAAGGTTCCAGCTCATTAGAACTGTGCTCATCATGATTTTATCTCCTGGAAAAAGAAGAAGTTAAGCAGGATAATTCAGATTCATATTTTTAAAATCCAGGCAGGCATACTTTTAAATTTATCTCTTCTATTCTTCATTGGCAAAGGCCACATTGAGCATTTTTGACCCACTCTTAAAGTGTTGTTAAAAGTGTATGTATTCCCACATAAAAACATCTCTTGGTTTTCAAGATTCAGCAATCTATATTTAAGAGACACAACCAATAAAGAAGAAATTCAGTACATAATATTAACATATGAAAATATCTGTGGATAAACTCAGACTGGAAGAAAAAATCAAGACTATTTGCTGGTCTAATTTTCAAATGCATGCTTAAGGAACTGTGAAAGAACTTAGTCATAAGTTTTTCTTTAATCTTTCACAGGGCCATGATGCTACATGCTTAATAAAAACTAAATGTTAGGCTGGATGCAGTGGCTCATGCCTATAATCCCAGCACTTTGGGAGGCTGAGGTGAGTGGACCCCAAGGTCAGGAGTTCAAGACCAGCCTCACCAACATAGTGAAACCCCATCTCTACTAAAACTAACAAACATTATTAGCCAGGTGTAGTGGAAGAACCTGTAATCCTAGCGCAACCAAGATGCTCCCCTGGGGGAGCATGGGGACTTCCTGAAGATGCTCCCAATCCCTATCCAAGGTTCTTGGCCTCTCTTACCCTGAAGAATGGGGAAAGGAACCCCAGAGGTGCAGTGAGTTTGCCATTCGAATAAATATCATGGACCCAAAGAGTTTTAGAGAGACCGATTTATTAGGCAGAGAGACAAAAAGAAAGAGAACGAGAGATAGCTCCCACACTGCCATGAGAGGGGATCCAAAGAAGGAATCCATATAGGGAGGGAGCAGTGGAATTTTTAACTCTTGAGTTATTTCTTCCCCATTCCTGTTCTCATCCAATGAGAGGAGTTCTTTCAAACTTCCTCTGGAGTGACTGATCTTTGACTCTGATACCAGACTGACTGCTTGTCCACAACAGAGCCCCCTCCTCCCAGCTCTTGGACAAAGCCCAGCTGTATTTTTCTACCTAGCCCACACATGGGAAACCAAGACAAAGAACTTTACATTCCTAAATGGAGGGGTGGAGCCAGGAAGCTCCTGCCTTTGAAACCCCACCCCTCATGGACCGGGGGAGAGTCCCTCAGTCCCCACTCTGAACAGGAAAGTCCAACTGCTATTGGAACATGGGCATTGATTGCTCTTTAGCTACTTCCTGCTGAATTGGGGCATAGAAGAAGCCCTACAGTTGAAGTTTCCTCCAGAGGGGAGTCTTCCAGGGGTGCAGATTTATCCAGAGGTCCACAGCAGAGCTTATGAGCCAAGGACATCCAAGGTTTTATTTGCATTTGTTGCCTTATGGCCTTAATTTTAGAAGAAACAAATTTGACAAGAAGGTTAAATATGAGATGCCCAAAAGCCAGCAATAATAGAATGGTTATAAATGGGCCTAGAAGAGTGCAGAGCAAGGTCAGCCAGCTGTTAAACAAGCTCCACCATCCTGTTTCTTGAAAGTCTTGAGTCCTGTGTTCAATTCTGTCCCTGAGTTCTTTAACTTTGTTTAAGACAATACTCAATTGGTTCATAAAGTAGCAGCATTTTTTTCCTAAAAAGAGACAGGTTTCTCCTTTCTCTGATGTTAGCACATCCAGGGCCCTTCGATTTTGAAGAGTCATGGCAGCTAAGGAGTTAAGCTGCTCCTGCAAAGAGAATTAGCAACCTTTTCCATGTTATTTAACTCCTGAAATAGTTTATAGTAAAACTGAGTAAAATAGTAACTTCTCCAGTGCCAGTATCAAGTTCTATTATTCCGCCCACACCCCACTACTTGGAATAATTGGGGTTTGAGTATGGTGTGGCCTTAGCAAGACTCTGCACCTGAAAGTCAGTGTATATTTTCATGGGGAGGGGCACTAGGAAGGAGAGGAGAAGAGCTATTAGGCCAATCCATAGGGGCAACTGCAGAAAGTCCAGTTGCAGATAGTAAAGTTAAGAGTGATAGTCCTGTTAATGCCAGGATGTAAGTTAGACTCATGAGTAGTTACTTTCCTGAGGATCTAATCAGAAGAGCTAATGTAGATCCTCTAATGGCTCCCAGGTGTATAAAGAGTTGTCTCCGGGAACTTCAGGCTGTCAAGTGGAGGGCCTATGATTTTATTCAAGAGGTGTCCAAGGCTTCAACCAAGTGTGATGAATCCACGAGTCAATTCCCACCACCTGAACTTCCATTGGGGTAGACAGAATAACTGAAAATGGTCCTTCCCAAGATGGGCCTAGAGAGGGAGAGTCTGAGGGGAGAGATTTAACAATCACTAAGTCTCCGGGACCAACTAGGGGAACAACTCTTTCCCTTTTTCCCTAGGGTGTCCTTCAGGTAAGGTCCTAAGAGCCTGTTGGTACTTAGCCAAGGAGGTTATATGTTTTATTAGATCTGCTGTTTCCTTGTCTTATACAAGATCATTAGTAAGAAACTGCCATCCATAAAGCATCTCAAAGGGGCTGAGTCCTATTTTCTGAGGAGAGTTTCAAGCCCTTAAGAGTGCTATTGGTAATAGAGATGGCCACGGGAGGTGGGTTTCCTGTGACAGTTTCTTTAGGTGTCTCGAGAATTTCATTCATCTTCTCCACTTTCCCTGAGAACTGAGGCCTCTAAGCACAGTGGAAATGGTACCATATTCCTCACACTTTGGAAATTTGTTATGTCACTGCACCTTTAAAGGCAGGGCTTTTATTACCTCTTGGGCTTTTTCTGTTCTACAGGGGAAAGCTTCAACCCAGTTTGTGTAGGTATCTACACATACTAACAGATGTTGATATCCCTGAGATGTTGATATCCCTGAGACTTAGGCATATGGGTAAAATCCATTTGTCAGTCCTCGCTTGGGTAATGACTGGTTCACTGTTCCCCAGCAGGAGCTTTGCGATGTGACAAAGGACTATTTTTCTGGCATATTTCACACCCTTTGACTATTTGTTGAACAGCCTTGAAGAGATCTTTTCCTGTAAATATAGATTTGGCCATTTGATATGTATTCTCTATACCCATATGGAAGGTTTGATGTAGGGTTTTAAGTACTTTCCACCAGCTGGCAGCAGGTAGGAGTACTTTTCCCTCCTCAATAGCTAGTCATCTTGAAGTAAGAAGATTATGTCCCTGGGAGATTGCCCACTTTACCTCTTCTGACGAGTATTGCGATCTATTTCCCTGGAGAGGGTTTTTCCATATTAAAGGTCCTTCTGTAAATTGTCTAGCTGCCCTTTTTGCCCTAGGTCAGCTTGGTGATTGCCCTCTGCTTCCTTCTCATCTTTCTGGTGACCTCAGCAGTGTGAGACTGCTACCTCTTTGGGTTCTTGGACAGCTTGTAATAAGTCTAAAATGTCCTTATGATATTTAATGGGAGTTCCTGTCGAGATTAGGAACTTTCTTTCCTTCCATATGGCAGCAGGGGCATGCAGAACCAGGTAAGCATGTTTGGAAACTGTGTATATGTTTATTCTTTTATCTTTTCCTAATTTTGGAGCTCAAGTAAGGGCTACTAGTTCTGCCAGCCGGGCACTAGTTCTAGGAAGAAGGGAATTACTTTCAAGCACTGTTTGATCACTGACTACTGCATCTTCTGCTTCGAACTCCATTTTCCATAAATGAACTTCTGTCAGTGTCTAGGTTAAGATCAGGATTGGCTAGAGGAGTTTCTAAGAGATCCTCTCAAGCCGCATAGTTCTGGGCTATAACCTGCTGACAGTCATGTTCTTTGTCTGCCCCTTCCTCATGAAGAAAAGTAGCTGGATTGAGGGCTGCACATGTGCGCAGCTGCAGTACAGGCCCTTCGAGCATTAAGACCTGATATTTGAGTAAGTTGTGGTCAGACAGCCATAAACCTCCTGTAGAGGCCAGAATTCCAGCTGCATTATGTGAAGTCCATAGAGTTAGATCTTTTCCTTGCACTATTTTAACAGCTTCTGAGACCAGTATAGCCACCAAGGCTATGACCTCAGAGCAGTGTGGCTAGCCTTTTGCTATCACATCAATTTCCTTACTTAGGTATGCCACCAGTTGTGGCATGGTCCCCCAAGTCTGAGTGAGAACCCCCAGTGCTACTCCTGACTTTTCCATAATATAGAGGGAGAAGTCATTCCCTGTAGAAATGCTTAGAGCTGGAGCCTGCAGTAGTGCCTGCTTTAGGGTCTGAA